TAAAAAAAAAAAAAAAAAGCCACAAGATTTTGCTGCCAGCCTGCCTGGCTGGCGTTTAATACTGCTACTCCATCAGGGTTGGAGGGAGACCTATTGTGAATGGCAACAGTTTGCACCGTGACTTCTCCAACTGTGCTGCAGAGCAGTGCCGGTGTCTCAGGAGGGCAGTGGGACAGGAGGGCTCAGACCCGTTACCAGTCAAAACGTCTCAGCAGCAGGGAGCTCCGATTAGGAGAGAGCGAGCTAACTTTGCGCACGAAGCTCTCGCTCTCTGTGCTTAAGGCTGAGTCAGCGACCCTTCTGGACTCTTCCCAGATTTCGGAAGATCACCAGACAGAAATACGTGTCAGTTATAAATATACCATGTCAGTCGCAGGGAGTGGAGGTCGAAGGGGGGCACAGGGAGGAGAGAATTTAGAATGGGTGCAGGGAGGAGAGAAAGGAAAAAGACATCTTACGTTTCCAGCACTGGAAAGAACAGTTTTGACCTCACGCAATAAGTCACTGGACCTTTTCAACAGTCTGATCTGGCTTATGCCCCATCATCTTTAACACATCATCAAAGGGAATGTTGGCTGGCAAAGGGTTAAACAATCCCACACAGTGGAGAGCAAATCTGCAGTCTGCTGGGAAGGTCCCCACCACATCACTGATGATCTCAGGGTCCAACTTGAAGGAAGGAAGCAGCTTCTCTGTCTCACACATCACTCAGGGCCTGGAGACAAAGACAAGAAAGTGTCAGGATGGACCTGCTGCGGTCCTTGACAGAAACGTGGCTCTGAAACACAACCGTGGCACTTGCCTTCATCCCCGGGATGTGCTGAGGAGGTTCTTTGTGGAACCTGCAGTTGCAACCCAGTTAAGAGATGACGGAATGATGCAGAAACACAGACTATCTTCAAGACGGCAGACTACGCTAGAGGACCCTTCCTTTACCCTCTGGTTTGGACTAGAAAGCCCAACCACATTTTATCTAAGACTTTTGGAGATTTCCAATGGGAAACAGCAGTTCTGCAGGCTCTTGGACTTGAGTTTTGGTAGGTGAAGTAGGAGTGATCTGCCACGAAGGCATGGGACATCAACCCAAAGAACAGTTCCAAACTGAACTCCAGTCTTCCCAGACTGATTCATACTCTGCTATGTCATATGAAATCCTGTCCTGCTCCGACTTGCTCACAGAAGCCTTTAGGGCTGCAGGAAATCCTTAGTCCTGTACACTCCCACTCCTGCCAAAGTCATACCTTGTCATTGACAGAGGAATAGCAGCGCAGCCTTGCTTACCTTCCGTGCAAACTCTGGCAGAATGAAAGCTGCCCGATGAATGTCAGAGTTGTAGTATTTCAGACTCCTCTCTTCTACTTGTTGCTGTGAGAGCTGTTGCACCGGCTCCCGGAAATTTGTGTTCTGCAATAAAGAAGGCAGATAGATCTGTAGCGTTTGGGTAACGAGCGAAAGGCTGTGTGACAGGCACCCTGACTCATGGCAGAGAACCAAGAGGACTCGCAGGAGAACAGATGACTTTCTGTTCTAGTATGAGGTCAAAGGTTCTGCCTAGCTCCATTCCCAAGGGCTGAGGTTTACGCTCTGTACCTCGTGTGACAAGCCCTTATTCACAGATGTCAGCACATGAGGTCAGACTGCATGCGAGCCACGTGCCAGATGAAGCTGTCAGACTGCGCCGGAGCATCTCAGAAGCACAGCTTTGGCTCTTCAGAGCAGAATCCACATCTGCGTTAAGTCAGGCACAGTGCACGCTGCCAGCACCCCAGATAAATGCAGCAGAAGTGCTGCTGGCTCCCTAAACGTGACAGTTGCACTCCAGACTTGCTGTAACGCAGCACCTTGGGAAGAAACAACCTCAGTGGTCTGACACAGAGTTACCAGCCCACTGGAGGCCTCCATACGAGCAGATTACCAGTTGCAAGATGACTCTTACCAAGCAGGTGCCCACTTTCTAACAGCCAGCATCAATAAGCCAAAACCTTAACAGGCTCTGGGAACTGGTAGCGCCTTCCTCCCTTCTAAGTCTGTAGTACTAGAGAGAACACCATGTCCTGTTCTAAGGCAACTGGTTACACTCCTGGTCAATTCTGCACTCCACTCAGCACTGAGCAAGCCCCATTGCAGCTCTGGGGCCCTGGGCTGGTGGAGCTGAGGCCCAGCATGAGTCTAGAGACCCCATGGCTGGGAGAGCTCGGTGCCACAGCTCCAGCTCTGTAAGGGACAGCCCGAGGCAGGCTCTGCGGGTACTTTCAGGGAGTGGAAAGGGGCACTTCAGGTGCCTGAAACTCACCGGGTTCTTGCTGCAGAGCATGAAGCCAATCTGCCCGCTGGGATATGTGGGGATGGTGCAATAGGCGTATTCCACAACAGGGAACAGAGACTTGCAGAACTGACGCATCTCCTTAATGAGATCCAGGTGCAGCCACTGGCACTCACCTGCAGGTAGAAAGGAATACGGGATGCAAGGTGAGAGCTGCCCCTCTGCTCTGTACAGGCCTGTGCTGGGTTAACAGTGGTTCCAAGTCCAAACCTGCTCTGCACCACACAGCTCTTGTGGTTTCAAAGGCAAGATAAGACCCTTACGCCAGTTTTACTGAGTGCAGTCCAGCAGTTAACGAGTTGACGTATGTAGATGAAAAACGCCCCTGTACCCGGGAGCTGAAATGGATTTCACTCCCTGCATCATGTCTCCCCAAGAAGAGACTCCTCTTTGTGCCTCACACATTGCATGCAATGATCATCCTTTGCCCAGAGACAGCATCCTCACCTTGGCAGCAAAGAATCCCATCTTCTCGCAGGGCTGTCTTCATCAGCTGGTAGTAAGATTCTTTGAATAAGCTTTCCGCAGGACCTAGGAGAAAAGTGAATGGAGACATCTCTAGAGAGAGACTAAGATAGTAGGCTTCTGAGAGTTTTTTGAATGCCCAGGCTGCACAGGGACTGCACTGGAAAAGAGACATTTCAAATGGCTTTTCAGTGATCACAAGTTTTAGAGATAATCTGGAAGCAAGTGTTGACCCTGGGTGAACCCCAGCCTGCACCTAGCACAGCAGAACCCTCAGATTTTAGCTTTGCTCAATAGCATGCCCAGGACACTTATCAAAGAAAGTCCTAGCAGCTGCCTCTTGCTTCAGGGAGCATTTTTTCAAACGGAACTCCTCCTACAAACTGTCTTTTCGAGATGCCTCTCTTTGTGTAGACTATAGCAAGAGCAAAGATGTCTCAAGGACTTGTCGTTAGGTTCCTAAAATGAGGCACCATGACTATATTTGGTCCCTCTCTAGGCCAGTTTTCCTCTTCAGAAATATACCAACCTCACCACAACCATCTTTATGCTAGGTAGCTACAGCAACAGCGCACGAGCCACCATTCATTAGGAGGTACATGCCAGCATGGTGCTGTATCCCCCATGGGGTTGCCAGACTCAAGGATCAACTCTCTGCCAGAAGCAATAGCTGCTGGAGTTGAATTTTGAGGAGAGAAATGCGTCAGCTGGCTCAAAGCCTTGCTAATACAGTTTCCTGGTCTTCATCCTTCCCTTTCTCTACCAAAAGAACCAAGTCAGTGACAATCTTTTCACTTGAAAGGAACCCTGGCAGGCTGGCATTACTTCCAGGAGGTAGACAGAGGAAAAAAGGAGGAGTGTGGAAAGCAGTATCCTTTTATCCAGAACTCTTACCCATGGGGTCAGACGAGTCTGTGATAATCACATCAAAGGCTTCTTGATTTTGTTTCATGAATTCAAACCCATCTCCCACGTGCAAGGTCAGCTTAGCGCTGGAATACCCCACTGCCATCCCTGGGAGGTATTTCTTAGATACCTGGATCACATCCTGCAACACAGAGAGCACAAGTGGGTCAGCAGAGGCTACAAGGAGCTACTTCTCAGGCTACTGTGCAGCTGCGGCCGAAAGAACAGCACAATGAGTCATTTCCTTCCATGCCTTCAGCACAAATACGACTTGCTAGCTAGATCCTCAAGAGTTGTCAGCACCTTCAGCCAACAAGTTACACTCAGCCCTTTCCTATGGCCTCAGGGTTCAGTGACACTGTTGCTCTGTCCTTGCCAAACTCAACAAGAGGAGCTTGGAGCTTCAAAAGCTCCCCAAGGAACTAAGAGAATACGATTACACAGATCTGACGGCTCTGTGCTCCTTTTCCCTGCAGGCATCACTGGCAGAGGTGATCTCAGCTAAAGACTTTTTTTTTTCCCCTTCCTAAATAAAACTATACCAGCAGGTTTCTGGATGCAAGATAAGAAATGTGCCAATATCTGCTCTATAGCCATTACATCAATCCCCTCGTAAGATAGTTTTCTCTCTAAAACAGCTACAATAGTTAGACAGCCACTGCCCTGGGCCCAGCAATTGTACTGAACACTACCAGCTTCTCACAGCTGTCAGAAACAAAAAAAATATACTGGTGTCAGGCAGTGCTTGTTCAAAACCAGGCACATATGGCTCCTTAGCTTGGCAGACAGGGTGCACAGTCCCATACAGCAGTGTTTCCCATGCCTAATGCAGCCTTAGTTTGAGAAGACAGCAAAGCTTTCTAAGAAAGTAAGAGACAGGACAAACCGACGGAGAAGGAGGACCAGCCCATCTGTCACAGAAACAAACACCCCCCCACTTACATCCTGCTTTCAGTCGCAGGAGTGTGCTTAAAAAAAGGCCACCCTCCTCTGGCAGGAGCAGCACTCTGTTCTGTGTCGGGAAAGAGGGAAAAGCAGCACCTTCACAAAGCCAGAGCTCTCCTTCTCCAGATCCCACGCTTGGCCCATGCTGGCCTGGAAGGGCCTCTACCGTACGTGTGTGAAAGAAATCAATGTGAAAGAGGCAGCCAGCTGCCACGTAGATGACTTGTAAGGCAAAGAGGTGGCGCTGTCAGTGTCACGCCAGCAGAATTGGCAGCAAACACACGCTACCGACAAGGGACAGCGGGTGAAGCAGCAGCTCTTGTGGATGCTGTGAAGCAGGGCTGCCTTTTGCTGGGCAGCCCTCTCCTCCGACCGCAGCCCCCGGGCAGCTCCCTGCAGCCGGGAGCCCAACGCACCTCATCGATCTCGCACTGCACCACGGACTCCACGGTCGGGTGTTTCACCACCTCTCGCAGCACTCCCCCGTCGCCGCCACCGATGATCAGCACCTGGGAGAGGACAGAAAACCAGCCATCAGCGGGGTCAGCTCACAGGCGGAACTCTCACAGCATGGCCCAAAGAGGACGGCTTAAACCCCGCATCCCTCCGGGCCCGTCCTGCCCCGGCGCTGGGAGACGGGCTCCAGCGGCCCACGAGGGCTGCCCGACGCCCTGT